CAGCTGAAGGTTCTCAGAACCAGGGGCAGATTAAAACACCCGAGCACGCCCTGGTGTTGTGAAGGCCAGGCTGGAGCACCACAGACCCAGCACAGAGGACATGAAGTTCCTCCTGACCTGTCACCTCCTATCTGTGGTTGCAGTCACCTTCCTGGGGGTGAAATGCCCTCTTTTGCAAGAAATGAGGTTTGCAGCTCAGAAACACCGGTGCTTTCAGTGCTTTAGTTCTCCATCTGCCCTTTTTCACCACACATCGTGATGAATCTTCTCTCTCTAGCCATCGGCTGTGAAGGAAAGTACCATGGGTTAACTCGCAGCTGTAAAAAGAAAGACTTGTGCATTCTGCAGATCCAAACCCGAGCTACTGCTTTGTAATCCAATATGTTTGTGAGGCTCATTATGCAAATCTTCCACTTAAGTGGTGAATTTTCTGCTACCAGACAGCATTTCAGAGCAGCAAAAGGACTGCTGACCTCTCACGTTCCTCAATAGACTGATTTGGGAGTAAATCATACGGAGCTCAAATATTTTGCCTTGCTGTTCTCAAATAATTTTTTACAATCCTTATCAAATTGTACTAAATTTCAGTTTTATCATACCTCCTGAAACCAAGTCCTGTCTCCTGAGGTGCTACAAAAATTACAGGTACTGGGCTTTGGAATGTAGGAGGTGCACACAAAAATCAGGTGGATGAGGGAAATATGCACAAGTACAGAAAGTGAGATTTAGAAGCCTACATTTAGAGACTTACACTTTGAAAAATGTATCTGTGTTAATAGGAAATTTTGCCTTTGCTGCTCTACATCTTACCCAATAACCTAAATACAAGCTAAAACCAGAGCTACTGGAAAATACCTTCAACTTAGAATACCACTATCCTTTAAAAACTGAGGAATTCATTAAACTCTTACTTGCAAGCCATTGCTCATGTACCTCAAGAGCATTATTCAGCATCATTTCTATAAAAATTTAATGAACTTTTATAATCAAAGCTTCCTCATAGTCACACCGAAATAACGGGATGTGAATGATCCTTTACTTTTAATTCAAGGTTTTGAAGAGACCGAATATAGAAAACCATACAGAATTTAACTGAATTCTTCCAGCAGTTAAGAACTGTGTACACAAATTAAAAGAAAAAAATAAAGAGGAGGGAAATCATTAATTAGTTATATTTGGGGATATATTCCCAAGTAGAACAGAATTCAGTCTAGCTATGTTTATTATATATGTTCTGAAAACGGTCCATTGTTTCCAAAAACACAGTAATCTCTTTTACAGAAGACAGAAATGATCCAGGTCTCTAAAAAGCCAGAACTGGAAACAATGAACAAAGGATTTAGTATTTACTTAACTGCAGATGCACTTAGCACTGGTTTTAGTTATGCAAACATCAGATCAAGATCCCTGAATGAAACTGGACTCCCCTGTACTTCTTTCCACCTACCACTTCCCCTTTAGTTTACTTTGCCTAAAAAGATCACTTGAAGTAATAATCCAGCAAAACAGCTGTTCCCTCCAAACACATTTTCTTTATTCCAGACAAATGTTAGTCCTTCACTGCTTGAATTGCAGTAATTCAGAGCAGAACTGGAAGAGAATTGCAACAATTGACCAACTGAGGGTGTACCACCGAGAAATGACTCTTGCAAAACCCTTTCTAAAAATAATAAATCAAAAGGAATAAAATTACAAAACTTATTTTACAAATGGGTATAAAGGCACCATTCTAAAAAGAAGGCACAGGCATACAAAAGCCAAGGTGAAAATTTACAGCAGTTTAAGAGAAGGACTAGCTGTACCTATCATTTCAGGATTAGAGTACAGAGTACATGTTTCTGGCACTTCCTTAAACAAGGGTGGAATAAACTTGCACACACATTTCTGATTTCTACAGACTAGTCAGTCATAACCTTCAGTGTTCAGAACTGAAGACCTTAGCTACAGTCTGGGAAATCTAATTAAAACTTTCAGCTTCACAAACCTAAAATTCAAATTATCACATAATCATTAAGGTTGGAAATGAACTTTTGAGATCACTTCACCCTAACACTGTTACCCACCACTTCTGCTTTAGATGGCTTTTTCCTTACTTTTTTTTTTTTTTTCCTTACGATTCTCTTTCGCAATACAGACCAGTTTTAGCTCTGGGTCCTGGTTTATATTTGTCTAAACTCAATCTTAATTGCCTGTTAACTCCAGCTGGGTGTCTTACAGAACATCAGGAGACACTTGTGCTTTTACATTTTCATTAAGTTACCTTGACTGTGAATAACACCTCCCAAAATATGTGTGTCAGAAATTACAAACTGGGGGTACAGGAATAGAAATAAGAGGGAACAAGTTTTTGATGGAAATTCTAACTGCTCCTTCCCTAATAAATGTGAAACGAAGAACTGCTACATGAACACAAGGGTTGTGATTGAAAAGTTAGAAAAATGTATAGCTTAAAAAATACAGAACAGATGAAGAAAATTGGTTTGATATCATCGGTTTTGACATTGCAAGGCATGAAATTCTTTCACCTCACTTATAAGACACCGGTGAAGAAACACCCTTCTTCCTCCACAAGCTGTGCAAGAAGCCAAAACCCAGAGCAGGGCTGGAAATTATTATCACTGCTTGTAGATAATTCAACCAGGTGACAGGGCAGCAACAAATTCTCTGAAGCTGATTAACCACGCCAACTGTTCAGGCACTTAAATATGTTCATTTCATTGGCACTTCCTCCTTCTACTGACACATCTAAGCTAGTTCTTTCCACTTATGAAAAGATTTAACTTGAACAGAGGTTGGCATGATGGGCAGAAATTAGACACCTGATCAAAACAGACTCATTTGTTGAACCCAGTAGCCCTAACATTACTCAGTTTTGTCTGCCCAGATGCACCACACATCTAACTCCCATTTTAGTTTGATCTCATTTCAGTCTTAGGTCTTTTAACAGCAGAACTTTTGCTTTTATGCAGAGAAAATCTGAAGAATAATTTCTAGTTCCAAATATTTTTGGCTCAGAGCCCAGAGCCTTTGTGGCTGAGGTGAAACAAGTCTGAGCTGAAGAAAATGAAAAGAGAAATGGAATGAAAGAAGAGATTTCTAACAACAGCTACTGTTGGCTTCCCTTTGAAGTGATCTGGATTGTTGTAGTACATTTCATCTCCTCGCCTCCTACTTTGTTCATCCTATTATTTAGACACGGCAGCAGGGTTATGTATAAACTGCTGCAAGAACAGAAGTGAAGGATAAATTATATTTTCATATATTTCACCTTGCCAACCTGTTGCCCTCCAGATATTCAGGCCAAAAAACAATGCTTGTAAGATCACACCTATCTATTACTTGCCTGCTGATGGAAGTCATTGACTATCCTTGTATCTACCTTAGTGTCTCTGTGGAAAGCTGTTGGGTTTGCCATTATTATTATCATCCTCTATATTCAGCCCAAACATGTCTCTAAATGAAGGGCACAACTTCTGCATTTTGCTGACATACCCACCTTCTCGGTTTCACAAATGCTGGAACACAATTTCTGATGAGTAATTAGCACAGGATTATTTTTAAAAGCTTCACAGCTCAAAGAGAGACTCAGAACAGCCCACACCTGACTACAGGGCTCAAGCCTCCATCTCCCTGGGGAAGGCACTACTGAAAGAGGTGAACAGTCCTTGATCCCCCAGGGCTGTGTAAGCATTGTGCTGAATGTCATAACAACCCATCATGAAAACAACTAAACTCTCAAATCCAACTGCTAACACAACCTCACCTCCTTTCTGGAGAATTACTAGGAATATTTCCTGGTTATCACTGGGTATCGCCTACAAATGGAATGTGGTTGTATGATTTAATTTTAATTACTTCTACATAGTTGTTCCATAACTTCAGTCCCCACGCTGACTAACTGATTGCACAGCAATCACTACCCCTCCTCAGGAAGGAAGTGTCCTGTGCTGTAAACTCCCGAGCAAACATTGCATCACGGCCTAGCAATTTACATAACCTGCTAATTAAGTTCCTGTAAATTAATTGCTCTAAAGATCTTGAATGCTACTGTAACAGCTTGCTTTACCACTCTTGAAACAATACTCATCTCCCTAGAACTTCTGGTACAATGAGAAAAGATGTTTTCCTTCCTATTAAAAAATGCTCTCCAGGTGTGAATCTAACAACTGGTTTGATCTGATTCAGCCCAGATCACTTTGCATCTTGTAGTGGGAGACCAAGAAAGGCACTGATCCAGTTTTACTGATCCTAGACAGTCAGTACCAAGCCAGCTTTCATGAAAGCCTTTTTGGCATTCTTCTGCTATTTCTTGAGCTTGAATTTTCTAAGCTGTCCAGTGCTGAGGATTCAGCATCAGCAAAATTAAACAAAAAAATTTTTTTATGTCTCCCACCCTCCTTACCAAGCTCAGTTGAACTGACAGTTAAGTACATCTACAGGACTATTAACAAACAAGCTTACAGGCTTTAGATATCCCAGTTCAGGAACTGTTTATCTATGTATCCATTATTTTGAAATCTACACAAGTTGCACATTTTTACACATCAACAACCACGCCAATTGTTTCTCCACCACCTTCACAAAATACGTTCACACCCATAGAAGGAACTTGCTTGAAAAAGTTGCACATAAATTACACAGCTGTTTTCACAATAATCCTGTTCTCATTAGATTTGGTGCAAATTTTAGCACTACTGTCAGTGGAAACAGCCTCTTCTATTCTTGAAACAAGGATCAGGTGAAAGCAAGTGGTGAGAAAGCCTTAATTATTTACATTTTCTATCAGAGATTTGGACATTAATCATAGCTACAACTTCACCTTTTCACCTGACTCAGGTTTTTTGAGAGATTTCACTTAAACTGACTAAAACCAGAGTTTTAAAACGTTTATATCGATTCTCAGCATTTGTACTTTTGCAATGCGTTTTTGATCCACAAACAGCCTACGGAAAAAATACACCACAACAGCCAACTTCCAGGTGAGCCTCCACAAGCCTTACCTGCATCATGGTGACCACATGGCAAGGGTTCAGGAGGTAAATGACAGTCCTGGTGGCAAACTTGAACCCCACCTCCAGCCCGAAGATGAGGCAGAGCAGCACCAGCAGCACGTTCTTGCCCAAACTCTCCTGCTTAGTCTGGGGCTGCTGCAGCAGATTCTCCAGCTCCCTGAGGTGGAGATGCCTGAGCTTCCCCAAGGACAGGACGATTTCCACGATGCCTACGCTGAGAAAGACCAAACTCTCCAGCAAGCGCTGCTTCCCCGAGAGAAAGGCAGCGCATTCCGGCCCCCCGTTGCCGGCAAAGCTGGGGTCCACCCCCCCATACATCCAGTCCAGGAGGTTGTGGAGGCTGTAGCGGGACATGGCGGGACGGTGCCTCTTCTCCAGGAACAGGTACGAGCAAGACGGAATCAAAGCCAAAATTCTGCCGGGCTGACGGAACATGAAACGTCCAGACCTTCCCTTTGCAGTTCTTCCTTCGCGGGCTCCAGGAGAACGAGGCAGCTCCGCTAGGGGCAAGGGCAGTTCTTCCCTTTCCTTTCCGATGCCCGGGGGAGCCCCGCTCGCAGCAGCCTGCGGGGAGGGAGAGGCCGCAGCTGCACGGAGCCTGTGAGCCCCCGAGCCCCGGAGCTCCAGACCCGCCGCCCCGGGACCCCTTCTCTTCCCACACGGCTCTACCGCCCACCCCTCTGCTCTCCCCTTCCCCACCGTGCAGGGCTGCCCTTACCCGCGGTCAGTGATGTGACCTGCCCCCTTCCTCCCTCCCTCCGCCCGGTCCCCCCCGCGCATCCCCCGGCGCTGCTGCGGTACCTCCTCGGGCTGGCGGGTGTCAGGGAGCGGCAGGCCCAGCGCCCCCGGCCATGGCGCCGGCCCCGGCGAAGGGAAGGGACGGGAAGGAGGAAGCAACGCTGCGCTCGGCAGCAGCGCCGGCACAGCCGAGACTCCGGGCCCGAGCGGGCTGGCCGCTCCCCGCGGCTGGCCCGGCCCCTGCCCGGCGCCGCAGCATCACCCCACCGACGTGCCTGACTCACGCCGAAAAATGGACGTGTCCCCCCGAATTGGCTGCGCCCGGCCGCCCGCTCCTCCCTCCGCCCCGGCTGCGCCCGCCTCCCGCCGCCTCCCTTCGCCGCTGCTCCCTCGGCGGGCTGCGCGATCCTGGTGCTCGGCTCCCTCCCGCCTGTTGCCTCTGCTTTCGTCTGGCTGCTCCCCTTTCTCCTCCTCCTGCTCGCCCTTATCGCAGTCAGCCCCCACGCAGAGCCCGCGGTTCGCCCCCTGGGGAAGAAGGGAAGGAGCGGGCACGGCTCTGGGTGCCCGTCACCGCGGTCCTGTTCGCTGACCCGCTCGGCAGCGGCCTTAACTCGATAAACAAGTTTTTCAAGTGCTATTGCAGCAGGTATAGGTCGCCCAAGGAATGGCACTGGCCCGCGCAGGAAAGGTCAGATCCGAGAGGGACTCCAGCTCCAAACCCGAGTGGGGCTCCAGCCGGTCCCGGTCTGGACATCGGCAGGTACGTGCAGCCAGGTGTGCCCGGTGCCTTAACCCGGTACCTGCAGCCAGGTGTGCCCGGTGCCTTAACCCGGTACCTGCAGCCAGGGGTGCCCAGTGCCGCACACAGAGGGCAGATCCTGCTTGTCTTTGTGCCCACACAATTTACTGCCACGCGTGCCAGACAGGGCCCTGTGCAGCAGAAGCCAGGTTTGGTTCCTGGTTGATGGCTTTGTGAAGCAGTTGTACTGCAAACATGAAAGGCAAAGGTCTGTGGAGATCTAGCTGGAGTAGTGGGTTACGGGGATGTTGTTGAGGGGATTAGAGCCATGGACATCCCCTGAGAGCTGTCTCGTCCTACACATTTTATTTCACACAGTCTGCATGCAGCACATCTTCCCATCCTGACCATTACAACAGGGCTGCCCTTCTCTGCAGGACAGTGCTAGGACAGCACTGTTGCAGGTCAAACTGTTGAGCCTGCTTAATTCCACAAATAAGTTTGAAAAAAACCACAGTCAGATATCAATACTGGCTGAGTCAAAGGGATTTCCATGTAGACAGAGAGGCAGCAGCACCTGATCTGTAAAGCTGGAGGCAATATGTGAATGCCATTCTGCTGTGGAAGAAATTAGTCCCTCTTTGGGAAAGAAGTTGTCCCCACTAGGCTTTTCCAAGGTCTTCAAGGGCTCCTATCCACAATCAGAGCTTGAAAGGATTCTACAAAATGCTGTTTTCTCAGTCACTGCTGATTCATCAAAACATCTAAACCTGCAGCACAAACCTCCTGCAAATGCACTGACTGAACACACCTGCACTATACACACACCTACTGCCCCAGCCTGCCTCACAGCCTGAATACTCGAACAAGCAGCTCAGCACTAACTCCAGCATTTGGCAGTTCTTTTCTTTCCCTATTTCTAAAACACAGGCTTGATGCTCACAAAGATAAGCACAGAGTATTTTCTCTCAGGGTTCTGCCAATTTGATTATCTGCTACCCTGTGCAACCTGGAACAGATCTGTCCCCTTCTACTCCCCATTCAAGAAGACACTCCACTGCTAGAAGCAATCCCAGGCAGCTTTCCATCTTGCTTCTGCATTTCATTCAGTCTCTCACCTTTGGCAGTGTCTGTGGTCTGTTTCTCAGACTTCTTTCCTGAGCTTTCCTTTGGTGAAGTGAAAAACCCCTTTCATTAGAACAGCAATACATTGTCAGGTGTTGGTATCTCTGGTGTGATTTCTTTAGAATATGGCCTGGCCACAGGAATATTGGTTGGGTGGTTTGGGGTTGTTGTGGGGTTTTTTTGGGGCAGCATTTTCCTCACAAAAAAAGAGCATTTGCAAAAATGACAGCTTGTTGTCCACAGAAGAGGAAGGAGAGAGAACAGCTAAATAAAAACAGATGTCATGAAAGATAAAGACTTAAGCAGTAAGTAGTTAAGACCTCACAGGAAGGGAGTCTAAAGAAATGAGTTAAGAAAAGGAATGATGCTTTAGAAAATAATTTGGAAGGCACATTTATCCCAGTTGTGAGTAAGAGAGAAATAACAGCAAGCTTAGCCTGACCACATCATGAGGTCGTCATTGACCTTTAAGTATATGAAGGAAACACACAGGAAGACTGGTCAAATTATTAAGAATAAGAAAGAAAGACTGAAAAAGGTAGTGCTGCAACACCACTGAACTATCAAGAGCTATCCTTATGTATATTTGTACTCAGAGATAGAGAAGTTATTATTCCTTTACTCAACAGAGAGAAATTCTGTTAATAAATTATGAAGAAAGCTAAATGGATTGTTGCCTCTGTTGTGTCAGACTTACAAAAAGGGCCATGTACAAGCAGATAGTTAGGACTGGTGACACTGAGGACAAAATTATCTCAGCCCAGAGTAGGTAAAGAACAGATAAGGAGCACTCAGATGAACTGAATGTTTTCAAATAGTTAGAGTGTAGTGAGCATAATCAAAGGACAGCTGAAGAATGATTGAATTAAGAAGGTGAATGAGATGCTGAAAAAAATCAGAAGAGGCAACTGTAAATTGCTGGTTTCAAAGTGGGGTTGGAGCCAGAGAAATACAGCTTGATTTAAGTGTATTTAACTGAATCCATGGAAAAATCCTGGGACAAGTAACCTCACAAACTGTTATTAGCACCTAGATGATAACCAAGGAACAACAGCAGCCAACATGGATCTGTCAAAAATAAATCACACCAGATAACCTGATGTTCTCCTCCAGCAGGGAACAGGCCTTATGGATAGGACAGAGCCTGTTGTCAGTTTGATTATGTTTATGACACTTACATGACATTTTCATTAAAAAGTTAGAGAAATACAACCCAGATAAATGTATTATAATGTGTGTACAAAACTGACTGCATAGCAAGCAGTATTCCATGGCATGCAGTAGTTCTTTATCAAAAGGAAAGGATATATTGCTGGTTTTCTAGAGCTTGTCTTCAGTCTGGGTCTTTTTGTTATGAACACTGTAAATAATGGAGCAGAGAACATACCTATTTATTTTGCAGGTGATGAAAGCTGGGGGGTAGGGGACACAAAATTCCATTTCTGACCATTCAAAAACATGCTTTTAAATCCACAATAAAGAAGACACTCAGTAAGATCAAATTGCATCATAGTTCATCACATTATACTGATATATGTCACCTGGTATAAATCATCCCTGCTGTTCCTCTTCCCCTTCCTTCTCATTTTCTCTCACACTGTCTTATGCCAGCATAAGTTTTTCTGGGGCTCTGTTGTTGACTGTATGAGGAAGCTGATTAACATCACAATTATAATTCCAGAGGCATGTGTAACCTGGAGCACTTTGTTGATCTGTTTGTTCCTACTTTGGCAATGGATGAGGTGACCTGCTGATGATTTCTTGTCTTGCTGTGATTTTCCACTCATTAGATAAGAGGAATATAATTGTTAGAAAACTGAACATCCTGATACAATTGATATTTCTCTGCAACGGCATAATATTGATAATTCATGTTCAGATTGTGATTCAATAGAAATCCAAAAGATCTGGTTCTCTGATCTTGATCTGAACTGGCCTAGGCACAGTTCCTTCATTCTCTCTCATTTTCTTCAGCTTCATTGAAAAGCATCTGTGAATAAGAACTTAGTATTACTGATTGAACACTAAGCCATTGCTCTTTTCTGTTTATTAACCATTTCTTCTCATCCTTTCTCTGGGTGATTTAGGATCTTACTAAGATCCTCTGTAAATATATGTATCTCCTGTGTCAATAGAAATGGCTCCCTGAAAGCAATAAATTCCTGCAACTAAAATGTTTGCCCAAGAGTCTGAGGCTTGCCCTTATATCTAGCATGAGATTTATTTTTCTGTCAGTGGCTTCTTTAAATATAAAACTGGTGAAACCTAATGTTAATCCACGCAGAAATGGCAGGCCCTGAGTAGCCCTTCACCCCCAGTCCTGCCCCAGGCTGGGCAGTGCCTCTGTCCCCAGCTCTGTCCTTCGCTGTTCCCAACCTGTTCACTGGGCTCCCCAGACTGACCTTGGACCCAGCTTGTCACCCCTCATTTCCCTGATGATCACTGGGCTCTTACAGCACCTGTCAGCATTCCAGCCCTGTTCCCTGGGTGCTGTGGGACTGTGCCCTTGTTGTTCAGGTCACTGCCCCTGTCCCTGTGTGGTCACTCTCGGTCCCCTAATTTCTGCCTCACTGCCCCTGTGTCACTGCTCCCTGGCAAGGGATGAGATTTAAAGGCAGCTGATGCTCCCTCTGCAAAACAAAACCTGCATCTTGTCTCTCCCTAAGGTATCATTCGCAAATTCCGTCTTAAGTGAGCCTGGAAGTAAAGGCAAGGCCTGAAGTCTTGTACGTGGCAGATGTCACCAACAAGCATCGGAAGTTGGACTTCAAAGCAGAAGGACTAAAAGACCTTAATTCTTATTTAAAAAGCATTTGAGCACGTGCTTAGCTTAAGTGTGTCCTTAAATGCTTTGAATTTAATTATGTAAATGGAGACATTTCCTCAGCATCAAGCTCTGCTGCTGTACTTTAAAATGTGACTGTACACATCAGTATGTAGTTACACCTGTAGATTTACTAGAAACTCTGTGCCCTTGCTATATAGGAGGTGTTTAAAAAAAACCCCAACAAACAACAACAAAACAACAAAAACACAAGCTAAATGAGCAACAAAGAAAATAATATTTTAAGTCCTGAAATGTTTCTGGTGAATAAAATATTCACAGATACAGTTGAAGACATCAGCAGAATGACTTTAATCATGAAGCTGTAATTTGCTGTGCGCTTTTATGCACAAAGTAATAAAAGAAATTCAAATTATTTGGAGTTTATTAGTCCTCTAGCTGATGGAAAACAAGATTGTTTGGAGTGTCAGGATGAATGATAATTCTTTATTTAGAACTCATAATGTGTTATGCAAAAACAGATGACCACAGCCTTAGGGAAAAAACTGTGCTATACTGTGGGTACTAGTGGAAAATTAAAAAACAATAATTTG